TACAAATACAGGCCATTTATGTCTGTGAAGGTTCTCAGTTATCCAGGTCATTGTAGTCAAAGGAGCTTGCAAAGAAAAGCGTCTTAGAGAAGTCCAGACAAGCTCCTTTGACCAGGCCATTTATTAATCCCTACAGTTGCTCCAAGAAGAAATGGTAGAAATAGCAACAGTAACAGACTAAGCTCCAAATAATATATTATGTTACAGAGGGAGTGTTCGCCCAGGGCGCCAAACAGGCTAGGACCGCCACTGGATGCGATTGTTTATATTTTTTTAAACTGCACTTCAATATTATATTTATATACAATAACAACTGATGTTCCTGTTGATTGATTATGCAAGAACTAGCAAGCTTGCATGTAATGTAAGTGTAAAAAGAGGCAAAGTGTGGGCAAAGACAGAATCCGTTTAAATTGGGTGTGGATTTGTAACATTGGTTGAATTCCACTCCAAGCCATTAGGGGGCCACCTAGGCTGAAAATGTTCATCTCTGCTTAGCGCCACAAATTTGCAATGACATTGCAGTAGGAAAACTCCCTAGAGTGGCCCCATTTAAAGGGCTACACAGAGAAAACTAGGTGATTCAGAATGTAATGTAACAGATGTAATAAGCATGTTGTGTGTATATATTAAGCTTTTATTACTCTATGTTGATTTTATTTTTTTAAGTTTTTAACATAATTTGTCTTCTGAATAAGTGATGGTGATGTTGAGGAGTACTGTCCTTAAAGGAGAGTGTCCTTGTAGTTTACAGCTAAATGAAGTACTTGACAGAAATTCTGTACCGCAGGTCAGCTCAGTGAAGTACCACACCAAAGCCTTCTCCACCTTCCATCAAATCAACGCCTTTGAGGAGGATGGATTCTTGATGCTCGATATGTGTTGCTCCGACGACGGCCAAGCCATCAACAACTACCTCATCCAGAACTTGCGTGAATCTGGAGATGCGTTGGATGAGGTCAGTATAATTGCATGAACACATGGTTACAAAATAAATGTAGCAAGAAAAACAGATTTTTATTTTATTTTTTTGCACTGTACTTGAGTTTTGGCATAATAAATATTTATAACCGGGGAAGACAATATTGGCTTTGCTAATTTACTAAATAATTTAGTGAGAAAGCTATTCAGTGTTAGCTTTATGGATTTCAGTCTGTTCAGATTTGATTTAACCAAATATCTAAAATGTACAAATATTGTCCCTCTCAGGTGTACAACACCTTGTACAGGAGTTTCCCTCGGCGTTTTGTTCTGCCACTGCATGTGACCAGTGAAACCCCAAAAGACCAGAACCTGAACACTCGACCCTGCAGCAATGCATCGTGTGTCAAAATCGGTGACGACAAGGTGAGTTGACTTCTTGCTCATGCCTTCATTTACAGTTCACCTGTAGCACACATGCTGGAGGCAGTAACTAGAAATGAGTTGTCTTGACAACTCATACAGTGTTGTACAAGTCAACAAGCAGGCAGTGAAAATATTAAGCTTCTTATTTTGAAATTAATCTAAGTGGCAGAAGTAAAGCGTTCCCTTGAGTAGAAATGCTAACGCCACACTACGGTATGAACAGATGCAGAAAATTACGTTAACAAAATGAGTACTAGGTTTCTTTTTTTTAGGGGGGGGGGTGAAACGCATAAAAAAGGCTTTTCATAAAATTAGAAAAGCCTTCTTAAAAGTAACCGCCACATTTGTAAAACTAGTGATTACTGAATTTGGGATATTTAGACTAATGGGTAACATCAGCACAAAATCTATTCTGTTATCTTAAGAGATGTTCCTGTAGTGATTTTTATCATTTTTGCAGTTTGTGTCGTTTTTGACCTCTGTGGATGGAAGTTTACATAATTTCAGTTGCAATCAGAGTTGACATAACTAGGTTGCAGAAACATGAGTCCAGTTAAAGGTGAAGCTCATGGTCACAGAGCTCGCACGCTCGACTGACCTTAGGTGGTAGTTCATCCTCTTTTTCGATAGGTGTTCTGCCAGCACGAGGATCTCCACGGAGAAGACCTCCATGAGTACGGTGGCCTGGAGTTCCCGCAGATCAACTACGCCAGATGTAACACACATCCGTACCGTTATTTCTACGGCTGTGGCTTCAGACATCTGGTGGGAGACTCTCTGCTCAAGATGGACCTGAAGGACAAGACAATCAAGGTGTGTATGATACTGTGCAAAGGGCTCCACCTCATTTAAACATGAGAGACGATGAGAGAGCGTTAGTGAATTGGATCATATTCACTGCTATTATACTGTGTAAATTATTAGTTAACATCATTTAAATGGTATATTGGCTTATTGCAGCTTCTTTCTGGTTAATATCAACTGTCTTCCTACACTGCTGCAGACAATTATCTATACATTCAACCACATCTGGGCTGTCACAGTAAAAGCTCATGATCTTTCAGAGTTAAAGTTTTATGTACCTAGTTTAAAGATATTTAAAACTAGGTAAAACGATGCCTCAGATGAACTACACGTGAAATATTAAACTATTACTCTTGTTAAAAGTAAGGCCAAAAATGTAGAAGTAGCACTGGGAAAAATTAACTACATCCTGACTGCTTCCATAGCAACTGTGATTATCAGTGTGAGCAATTTGCTGCTCTGGGAGCATTCAGGTGTGTGTGTGTGTGTGTGTGTGTGTGTGTGTACCAGACTGGAACTGAGCCAGTAGTTGAAGAAGCAAAATTAAGATGCTGTTATTTGCTTGTAGTATCATTCTGCTCATGTCTTGATAAGAACAAGAGCAACTTTAAAATGTGGAGTTAAATTGAAAAACACTGACACTTGTGAAAATGATCATCCACAGGTCTGGTACCAGAAGGGTTTCTACCCCTCAGAGCCTGTGTTTGTGCCGTCACCTGATGCTGTGGAGGAAGATGGTGGTGTCATCCTCTCGGTGGTTCTCACCCCATCACAGGTAAGACTCTCGGCTGCACAGACGTAGCAAATACGTCTACCTAATGTGCTGATCATTGTTGTGTCTCATGACGTTATCAGAGGTTTATGGTTTCCTGAATTTGAGGTACCAGCATGTCTGCAAGTCCGCCTAAGCTTTATTCCTTTCTGCTTCAAATTCTTTAATCAGCTGGACACGATCTATCATAAATATTCATGTGGGTGACGAACAGAGTCATAAATATTCATTGCTGAATTTACGCGAGTGAATTTTTGGAATTAAAAACAGAACTTTCTAAAGCCTTCACGATTAATGGCAGAAAGTGCACTTGCTGGCTACATTAATGGTGCCAGTAAAAGATTTTCTGAGTAAAGTAAGATTTTTTTTTTCTTTCCCAAAAATAGTCTACTACATCCCAGTGTCCATCTTCCTGACAGCACATTGGGCAGCCTGAATCTAAACTGAGCATTGTACTATTGTGTCCATCTCCCCTATATATTGTTCATTTGCCCGTCTGTTTATTTTAAAATCCTAATCAGTTTTAATTACCCCTGAAACACTGGATGAGGACCCTTTTTTAATATTCTTTTGTACACACAATGCGTTCTGGTCCTTGAATTTAATTAAATCTGCTATTCTAAAGACATGCACACCTCTCAAGCATACCTCCACCTGGTGTATTGAACCTAAGTGAAGTCTTTCACTATGTGGTGGTGTGTAAAGAAGTGTGATTTGTTTTGTGTGTGTTAACGCCATCAATCGTTTCTCTCCAGGATAAAGGGACCTTCCTCCTGATTTTGGATGCCAAGACATTTGAAGAGCTAGGAAGAGCTTATGTGCCTGTTAACATGGCTTATGGCTTCCACGGTACCTTCAGTGCCTCTGCATAAACTTCTTGTTTTTTAGACTCCCCATGATTCATGGGCCATGAATACAAC